GTGTGTGTGTGTGTGTGTGTGTGTGGTGGAGGGCAGTTAGAAATGGAAAGCACTGTTTTCGTTATCTGTTCTTATTCACTCCCAGATAGTTCCTCTGTGTGTGTGTGTGTGTGTGTGTGTGTGTGTGTAGGGAAGGTTTGCAGGGCAGTGGGGTTTGCATTCAGTGCTTCCAGTGTCATGACAGCCGTCATCTTCCCAGTGCGGGGCTCAGGTTTCAGTTGGTGAAGGCCTGCTTGTTTAGCCGAGTGCTCATTCTCTGTGTTCCATAGATGAGATGAACGTTTCCATTTTTTATTCTAGTTCCAACTGTTAATCCAGCACTTGCGGATTGCCCCAAACTGGGACATGTAAGTAACATTTTTATTTTTTTATAACGTCTGCTCCTCATGGTATTCTTCCTTAAGTACTTCCAACATATATTATCAAAAGCAGATTTTAAAATAATTGTACGTTATTCTGAAGTGATGATACTGTACCGTGGGCAGTTTTTCCAGGTAGCTCATTTTCAAATTTAAAAAGACTGCTTTTGCCTTTGCTTGCTAATGTGTTCAGCCACTTTGTTTTGGGTGTGAGAATGATCTCCGTCCCACGAGCATTTGCAGAGGGCACCATCAGGCTGCTCCCAGGGCTGAGCAAGGGAAGGTTTGGCTCTCGTGGACTTTACGAGCCACAAGAAAGACAGAGAAGGGAAGAACAGCCACTGTTTGTATTGATTCCTTTTATCGAGAGGCGGAATGCTACTTGTACTCCGACTCCTTAAATCTGTCATCTGGTATTGAGTTTTGAGGCTGATTTGGGCAGCGGAAGTCTGCATGTGAAAGTTCTGATAGCATGTTTGTTTTCTCGGTGCTACTCTGAGAACGGACTTGGTTTCTGCTGTGGTCCCCACGTTTGTCCTAGGAACCTGAGAAATCGCAGGTCTCTCGCTGATGTACACACTGAATGGGCCAGAGAACATGTAAGGTCACTAATTAAACAAGCAGTTCTCAGCAGCCAACATGCTCGGTCATTTAACAAACACACTTCTCCAAACGATGTATCTATATGAAGTAGCTTTCAAGTTGTAATGAAATAATATTTAGTAATCTATTAGGTTTGTTTTCTACTGGATACCAAAGGGATACTTTGTTGAACTAGTAGTTATTCAACTTGGTCAATATTTGCAGAACAGATCATTGTAAAACATTCTATTTTAGCAAAGAAGATAAGTATATGTTAAACTATTTTGATGGTCACTTTTTTAAAAACTAATGTATAAACTCATTGGTCTACAAGCAATTAGAACAGAGGCTGCAAATACTATTTCTCTTTAAGACTTTTTGACATTTGAATTTTTGTCTTTCTTGTTAAGCAATAACTTGTTTAAATTTTGCCACCTTACAAACAATGCTGCAAAGGACATGGCTGTTCATGTCTCCTGTGCACATAAGAGAGGGTTACTCTGGGCTGTACACAGGGTGCCACCGTCATGTGATGTTGGAAGCCATGGCATTCATGGTGGACAGGTTTCAGCAGAGCTTCTAGACAGACAGACCAGGAAAGACAGCTGGTTCCAGAGAAGGACATCACGCTTGGTAAAGTTAGAGGGTCGGTAAAAAGGAGGAAGACCCTCGGCGAGTGGCCGCAACAATGGAATCAAACATTGGAACAATTGTGAGGATGGCTCTGGACAAAGCAGTGTTTCGTTCTGTGGTACACAAGATAGCAACACACACCGGGAGACTGTGCTTGCCCTATTGCATTCAATTCTTATTTCACGTACTTGTATTCTGTGTCCATAGCTGTGTACCGTAACTAAGTGTGGCGGGAGCAGTGTCCTCGATTCTAATTCACCTTTTTCAGAAACGCTTCTCTGTCCATTTACAGACGTGCCAAGGTCGCCCGGGTGATTGGATTACTGGCCTCACACACAATTGAGCTCCAGGAAAATACACCTGTTACTGAGGTAACGTGGCTAATAACTACAGTGTTCTGAGTGACAACACGATGGCTCTTGATTGTGCAATTCAGGACATGCCGCTTTCTCTGCCCTCCACTAATTTTCTTCCGTGGTTTGTGGAAATAGTTATAAAACAATAACCTCGATAGATCTCTAGGTTTAAGGCCAGCAGCTCATTTACACATCGTGACCTGTTAGTATTAAAGGGGACCTGGCGGAGTTACGAGGCTGGTGGAATGCATGGTGTGCATTATTACTCCAAATACTTGTGGACGAGGTTTCTTTTTATTGAGCAATTCTAATTCTTTGACAAACACTTTGGGTTTTTGGTGAGAGTCTACACAGCAAGTTGAGTTCCCATTTGATCCTTCTGTGCAGATTGTTGAGTGACATTAGCTACTGGTGTCACGGCGTGGCCACCTTTTTGTGCTCATTGGCTTCCTGTATTTGTATCCTGTCTGCTTGTGTGTGTGTGTATATATATATATATATATATATATATATATATATATATAAAATCATTTTATTGGATATATATAAATAGAAATATATATATTAAATATATAAATACATATATTTAATCATTTTATTGGAGGCTTGTACAGCTCCTATCACAATCCACCCTTCCATTCATTGTGTCAAGCACATTTGTACATATGTTGCCATCATCATTTTCAAAACATTTTCTTTCTACTTGAGTCCTTGGTATCAGCTCCTCATTTTTTCCCCTCCCTCCTTGCCCCCCTCCCTCACGAACCCTTGATAATTTATAAATTATTATTTCTTTATGTCTTACACTGTTCGGCATATCCCTTCACCCACTTTTCTGTTGTCCATCCCCCATGGAGGGGGTTATATGTCAATCATTGTGATCAGTTCCCCCTTTCTCTCCCACCTTCCCCTTACCCGCCTGGTATCTCTAGTCTCATTATTGGTCCTGAGGGGTTTATCTGTCCTGGATTCCCTATGTTTCCACCTCTTATCCATACCTGTGTACATGTCTTGTCTAGCTGGATTTGGAAGGTAGATCATTTAAACCACATGGGAAGGTGTGTAAAGGTTACACGCAGTTACATTATCATTAGTTAATAGAAGGGATTTGAGCATCTATGGGTTTGGCATCTTTGGGGGCTCTTGGAACCCCCCATGTGTACCAAGGGACAAACAGGCCGCATCCTGTTTTCTCTTGCTGCTCTCAAAATTCTCACTTGTGAGTTTCAAGAATTTTATTAGGATAATGTTGTATCTCTTTTAATGTGGGGTTCCCGTAGCTTCTTGTATTCGTAGTCTGCATCATCTATTCAGGTCTGGAAACTCCTTCCTGATGATCTCCTGGTAAGTAATGTCCGTGTCTTTGTTGTTGCCAGGAGGCTGTGGGATTCCAGTCGTTCAGATGTTAGATTTCGTGATTGAATCCCATGTCCCCCTTGTGTTTGTTGTTTACTCATGAGGCTTGATACGCGCAGCTATTTTGTCTTCTGTTTCAGATGTTCCTCCTGTCTCTTGCTGAGTGCTTCTCTGGCTTCTTCCAGTCCAGTGATGCTGCTCTTGTTTCAGCAGTTTTCACTCTTTAAGGTCTTCAGTTCCTGGTTGGGTCTCTTCCGCTGCTCCACTTCTTCCCCGGTTTCCACTCGCTTCTTTCCCGGGTGCTTTCTGAACATGATCAGTGATTTTTGTTCGTCCGGACTGTGTGGTCTGGACTGCATGGCTTCTGACTGATTCTCCTCTTGTGATTTTTGTGTTTTATTTTTTGTTGTTGTTGAAGTCGGGCCTTTTTGTTACTTTTATAAATTGTAATGTCTGTCTTGGTTTTGTGGGAGAATTGTTTTGATTGGCTACTCTTGATGCCAATGCTTAGCTGAAAGGCTGGGGCCTGCCACCCTACCCCCTGTATCCACGATGAGTCAGAATTGCCTCGGTGGCAGCAGCCTGGGCACTTTTTGATGACCCCTAGAGGGCATTGGTCCTCAGGGTTCCCCCCCACCTCCCCTGCCCAATGCTGATTATGGAGTTCTGGATGCTTGAACTCTGGAATTTATTATGCATGCGTGGGGGTTGGCTGTTTGCAGACACTGACGTAAGTGATTGGGGAAGGAGAGATGAGCTGCCTTTTCCTCTGGGTGCCCCTCTTCAGGCCACTCACGGTGCTCTGCTGGGGTGTTTTCCCTGCGACCTTGTGGTTCCCTCTACTGGGTGCCCATCTGCCTGATTCAGCAGCTCTGCCTCACAGCTCCTGGCCTCCTTTTGCCCCCTTCCCACTGTGTTGGAAGCCAGCTACCTGAGGCCCTTTGTGGCCCCCGAGAAAAATCAGGCTACAGTTTCTTGAGGTCAGCGCCCTTTTGCTGCTCTCCGTTTGGAGCGACACCCATGCCTGTGTCCCCCTGTGGCTGTGACGAGTGAGCACCCCCGATGTGCGTGGGGAGGTTCTCACAGCTCTGGGCTTCCCCCCTTGGACTCCCCTGACTCTCATGTACCTCAGCTACCCTCCGGAGTTCTGGAGCACAGTGCTCGCTGGGCCGTGAAGGTCAGTGGAGCCTCCACTCACTTAGTCGTCTTGTTCAATAGAAACCCGAAAGTTCCAGAAACAGATGGGAGGCACTGGGTCCGCAGAAACGCAAAGCAAACCACAGTGCAATAGCAAGATAGGTAGGCGAGCGTCCATTTGACTCCCACTGGAAGAGCTGAGATTTTGTCAGTGTCTGCAAACAGCCAACCCCCACGCATGCATAATAAATTCCAGAGTTCAAGCATCCAGAACGCCATAATCAGCATTGGGCAGGGGAGGTCATTCCCTGGGAGTGACATCAAATGCCACTATTAGCATTTGTCGGGATAGCTGTAGAAATACAAGCAGTAAGGCCCGCTGCAGGGACCCTGAGAGTCTTCACTTCACATCGTGACTACCTACCACTGACAAAAGACAGCCAGCCAGTCGTAAACGGGGCAATGGTCCTGACCACAGTGACCACTAAACACATGAGAAGGAGAGCTGAGATTCACAAACAAACACCTGCTCTCCCCCTCCCCAGAAAAAAGCAAAATAAGTGGCGAGCATGTTGGGAAACCGGAGCCTTTGCCTGTTGATGGCAAGGAATGCAAAACGATGCAGCCGTGGACGAGAGTAGTGTGCCAGCTAGTCCACGAACTCACCATCTCCCGCGATCAAGCTCTTCTGGGAATCTTCCCCGACAGGCTGGAGAGCAGCCACCCAGCGACTGTCGTCATAACCCTCTTGGAAGAGGGGACACAGCGGCTCAGTGCCGAAGAGCACCACCCTCGGGCCCCACACCCGGTTGCAGGGTGCAGACGGAAGCCCCAGGGATAAAAGAGGGGAAGTTTCCTCAGAAGGGATTGAGCCAGATCCTGAAAACCCAGTAGGAGGCAGAGCCAGGGGCGAACAGCAGAGGCCCGGAGAAACCCACCGCCACCGCTGAGCGGGGAAGGGGCAGCAGAGGCGCGCCCTAGCAGGAGCAGACGGGCACACAAGGGGAAGCACGCTGTTCACCAGCCCAGCGCTCCCTTCCTCAACCATGCAGCTGAGACCAAAGGGTCTGCACTGACTAATGCAGCGATGAGAAAATAAGGGCGCAGGGCAAGCCCAGGGCTGGAAAGAGGAGCAACCAGAATACAGCTGACACGCTGTGAAAAAAATTAACTTCACTGAACGGTGGGTGAAGGAATTGTCATCCTCCAAATCCCCGGCCGCGGAGTCGATTCCAGCTCATCGGGGCCCCGTCGAGGGTTTTTAGGCTGCACATCCACAGGTGCAGCCAGCCTCTCCGCTCCCGCTCACTGTGTCTGGTGGGTTTGAACCACCGACTCTGGTTGTCACTAGCCCAAGGCCTCCCAGCGGTGTCATCAGGGCTCCTTAGACATTGTCACATGGAAACCAGATTTGCTACATAAACTTTCACCCCGAGTAAGAAAACATTACACAGAAAGGCCTCTAACCTCTGTGATGGGAGGCAGGTCAGTGTTCTACAGACGAATCCTGACCTGAAGGCGGGGTACTGATCCAGAAGACCAAACTCTCCTGGACTCTTTTTGAAAGCCATGGAGGCCGGGAGAATCCCGGACACTTTTGTCCTTAGATAATCTCTAATCCTCAGTCTAAAATCTCCTCTGAACATAAAAGCAAAATCAAGCCTATGGTAGCTTAACTGCTCTTTGGAGAACTACGTATATGGGATCAAACAGGTGAGAACAACTCCCAAGGTACGAGAGAGCATTTCGTGGGGGCCGTGAGTTGATGTTCCTGGCCTGGGGAAGGACCTGCTCCACAAAGGAAGGGGGAGAATGCCCGGCCAACTCCCAGAAGGCCCTCCGCGTCACTGAATTGTACGTCGAGAAGCTGCGGCAGCGATGTCCGTTCTGTGCGTGTTAGTAACAAAATGCATCACCCCTTAGCGGCTCTGACACTTCAGGCCTTAGGGACACAGAGCGGATGCGAATGAACTTTGGTGCAGAAGGAGCCAACCGTGGAGGAGTATCACCTTTGATGCGGGCTGCAGTCTTTCCCGAGCAGTTTGGTTTCTCAGAAAAACCAGGAACTGAAGAGGGGACGTTTCTCATGAAGGAAGACAAGATCAGTAGAGAAAAGGATAATTTGCAAGGAATCGAGTAAGGAATCTTGGTCACTGGACCTATTAGCTGTTCAAACCTGTAGTGCTGGATGTGAACATTCTGCTGCCCGGATCAGACTAAAGATGCCCTGAACCCAGTGGTCAGTCTTAACACCACTGTTGGTGAGATGACCAGAGTCCTGCCTCCTGATGTGGTGCGAGAGGAAGCTCACAGCACCATCTCTCAAGTAGTCTTCTCCCCCGCACACCGACTCTTGAGCATCTAGACCGAATTCCACTTGATAGGAAAACACAGTGGGCTAACAGACCACCTCCCTCCCTCCCTCCCTCCCTCCCTCCTTCCTTTCAGAGCATCACAGTATTGATGAAAGGACCGAGCAGCCATTGGCGGGGATGTGTGACCTCCTCTCTGGGGCACGGACA